TTTTCTAGAATAATGGAAATCGGGTGTGCTAGGTAAACTTAAATTTTTAATTTAAGGAAAGTCTGTTCATGCCAAAAAACGAAAGAATAAAGCAGCACAAGTAGAATTTCGTCGGAACATAATCCTTTTGTAAAATTTTGGGATACACATGGTCCCATATTACACGCAGTTTAAGGTATGGCTTTTATCAAACAGCCCAGAGGTCGAGTATGTATTCCGCCGTGTTTTTACGAGAATCGATAGTTATTTATTCCGCTTATAAATTGCTGGAGTTAGGTTGGACTGAGGCAACCAGTCTTCCGCTTGATTGCGCCGATTGGAATGTCAAAAGAGTGAAAAGATTAATGATCTCACGTGCGGAAATGCCGGTCAGTGGCTAATAAATTTTAATGGGATTGTCAGGTGCAATCGTAAACTTACCATTTTGTGTATACTAAGAGGAAATTTCTTCCGTCACATTTCTTTGTAATTATTTGTGGTGTTCGCTTACGACGAGGTTCAGATCGTTCTTGAAATGCTGGTTAACACTTTACGGTCTTCAGTGGTTTCAGCCGATTGTCACTTAATAGGGATTATGTTCGACATGCTTAACAAAACCCCAAAGATCATATATTTCCTCGACGCATTTAACTAAATATTGAGATTTTGGACATTCTTTCTAATGGACCTTTCTGTTTAGGTCATGGTTTTAAAATCACCCAAACATGTCAACTCATTGGTGAGAAAAATAAACACTCACATCAAAAGTCACAAACGAATACGCCTAAGGTTAACTAAAAACTTTTTATAACAAGTTTTGGTTCGCAGCGTTTAATAGCATAGGAAATTCCTTGGATATCAAGGAGCGTTCGATTTGGCAAACTTTGACCAACTTTTTCTCTCAATATATTGATCTGAACTGGACTCTTTTCCAGTTAACAGCATTTTGTGCCTTAGGTCTATTCAATGCATAAAATAAAATCTCTGTTACACCGCCCGCTCAAATTTTGGCCCTCATATTTCATGAGTTAGGCCAGCTACTGTACTTATACATTCGTTCTTAGCGAGCGCGATTTTCGTAGGCGGTTGAAAAAACGTGCACTCGAAGCGGATATCCAGCCGTTTCTGAAACATTTCGGTATTATGCCGCACAACCATCAATATTTCATTCCCATTTAAGTACTCCTTCTTAACCAAAAGCAGGTTTCTGTTGAAGTTTTGTGACATCGTTTACTTGTAGTACAGTCTACTATCCCGCCCTTGAGTATAATCATGCCTCATTCTAACCGTAGGCTCAACACATATTATTTGCACAGGTCAGAAGTAAGAGATTAGATTCGAGTTTGCTGAATACTCAAGGTCTTCGTTCATGCGATAAATTTCAAAAGCTTAGAAAATGTCAGTTCATTGATAGTGGCGAGTAGTATGAAAACTTGACTACTTAATGAAAAACGGACTCGTGATTTGGAACGTTGTAACGCTTCCTGTGCGCGATTTTTCGAAGTTTGAAGGTGCGTAGTCTGTATCTCCACAGCGTGGTTTTCCGTGGCCCTTCCGAATACCGAATCACCGATTCGGTCGCTCCGAAAGTCCAGGCTCCGGGAGTCAAACCTCATCTCGCACTTTACGCTTTATGCTACGATTGTCCTTCCACAACAAGCGAACCCTTCAGTACTTGCATGCAAAATAGTTACCCAGTGGACTGAAGAGTCCTCTTACGAAAAACTTCAGCGTCTCCGTACGCGCACCAAGCTTTTGTTCGCAGCTGTAAGGCCTAGCTGAAGAACTTCCCCACCGTAATCTGTTAGTTTTTACCGCGGGCTGGAATGGCCGGATTCGACCCGGCGACTGTTCAAACTAGTACGCCATTTGACCGTTTGGGCCTTGACTGTAGCTGCGACTGTGAGGATAGAATGCTGCACTCTGCTGACCAAAACCAACTATTTGTTACCAAGGTGCACTTCCAACGTTGTAACACGCACGCACATCTGCTGCCCTGCTATTCAAAGCATATGCGGCCTTAAGTCACCCTGACTACATTCTAGGCGATGCAAGGTTCCGTAGCAGGGTTCATAGTAAAAAAAAATCGATGCGTGGGAACGAAGCTAGTGACGCCCATTGGTCAGACCACGTTCTCGTTTGTACACACCTAAAAGTTCACCCTTTTATTCGTGCCCTTATCGTCTCATACAAGGCGCGTCGATGTCAAAAATCTACAACAACCCAGTTTAGCCCAGAGCCTCAGCACAGAAATCCGGGCTCGCGTTTCGACCCGAACTAAATGAGCTTTTATTGTTATCATTCACTTTCTAGAAAAAAATCAAATCCATCAGACCCCGAACTAGATGTCGATACGCCAACCAGGTATGGGCATTGCAGTGCAACCAATGTCCATCTGGTTGTCTGATTTCGTCGCAGTATTCATTTCTGTCATTTGCGAGTCCCTGTGGCGGATTATGGAGCTGGACGATGTGTCCACAAAAAACATCCTCATGATCAGGGTGTACTATCGTTTCACCAATGCTCGAATTTCATGGAAATACCTTGTACGGTTTTGATGGTATTACATTCACACTCAAGCACCAGGTGACAGATCTCGACTACACTAACGTTCTCATCATGCTCTGCTGTCGAGTTTGATTTAAGTCGCTAAATCAGTCGGTATATCCACAAGCACAGATGTTTTCTAGTCGAATTCCCGACCAGAAGCCACCTTTCCGGATTGATGACTGTCAACTTGAAGTGGACAGTTTCAAATACCACAAGGCGAGGCTTCCATTCAATTGCCAGAGTAAGCACTACGTTGTCTCCCGAATCGGTGCTGCTAGCTGGGTTTTCTTAAACCTTCACAGATCTTCACGCATCGAAACGTTAGCCTAGCGACCTCCCGGAGACCATCTAGATAAGGCTAGGTCACAGCTGACATAAGGCCAAGTCTTCAGCACACTCCTGTTCCCGTTTAGATGTCCGGCATGGTCTAGCTTCCCTTTTCTCACTCTTTATCCTACAGGCAAAATCCTTACAAGGCGTCCACTCCTGTGAGGGGTCCCCTTCAATTTCTCTGTCAATGGGTGATACCCTGACCTCCGAAATGGGCCGTTCTCTGGCTTTCGCCGATAATTCGGCCAGCCCGGTCACGTTGACCACATCTACAGCTGCCCTGGCGACATCTCAGCCTGTAGACTCTGTGACGGATCCCTGTTCGCCCGACTTCTTGGATAATAGAGAGAAGGCGGTGGAGGGCGAAGAGACCCAGCGTCACCAACCCGCAACCAACCCTACTTCACCCAGGCCCCACTCTCCAAGGACTCAGGACGACGCTGTGCGGTCTGAGGATCACCTGGAAGACGACGCAAATACCACAACGACAAGTTCCGAAATCGAAGTTATTTCCTGTTGCACCTCAGTCAACGGTGAGGCCTCGAATGGCTCCGGCAATTCAACTGCTGTACTCCTGGCGGCCACAGAGCAATTTCTTCAGGGCACCGAGTGCCCTCAAGATCTAAGCTCCAGAGACCGGTACTTTTTATGCCTGTGTTATGTCCGGTTAACATTTATGCAAATCGATAGCCCTTGATGCGCGAGCTCTTGTCAACTTCTACTTTGTCCATCTGCAATGCGTCTTAAATATCGCTCGTCGACTGGACTCCTGTTAGGCTTCACCTACTGCTAATGATGATGGAGATAACTGGCGAATAAGAAGCCGCCGACGAGTGTGGGTAATTTTAAAACACTACTTGTCGCTAAACACTCTCCCTGCCAACTCCTGCCCCTGCGTCTGTTGTGTGCTACGACATTCCCGATCGGTTTTCGGGTCCAGAGGTTAAGGTGACCATCAACTATCTCTTTAATTATAATCTTTTGAGTAGAGTTAAACTGCTGTTTAAAGTTACCTCTGAATGAGTTAGGCCCTGGAGGCCCATTGAAAAAAAAACCGCACAAACATAGTCAACAGATACCTGAGGTGTAGAAATTTTTCAATCGTCCTTGATCGTTGAAGCGGGACTTGCGTTTACAGTTTACCCAGAATCTATTCTCCTCTTGTTGTAATTTACCATGCTGGCAGCACAGGTACCAGCTCAAAGTCCAGACTCGTGCTTCGTCCGTATTCCACCCCTGCTTGGCACAGCTCTGTTGGGTTCGGCTTATCAGTGGGTCCTCCAGCTTCCTCTGTTCGCTTTCTAGTTAATATATAGATTTTGAAAGTTGAGCTTTATAATTTCCCTAGACGTATATTTCTGTGTTCCGTGTAGGTTATTTTTTCATGATTGAGTCAATTGGATTACTCTCGCATGGCTTTTTAAACTCTTTCAACAACTTAATCGACCGCAAAGTGGGAGGGGAAAGACGAGGAGAGTCTCCCAAGCTCATGTTACTCGCTCTTTCCCACACTCTTGTGAGAGTAGTGCATTCTAACCATTTAAACATACTTGATTAGGTCTGTTTTGGAGACGTTTTCTGCTGATTTTCGGCTCATCACCTCGAGGACGGAGCCGACCCCCATAACTGGAGCGAGTATATGTTCCTGCCTCTTTTTTCGCAGGAAACATTTGTGATTGAGCACTTTTTTCCCAGCATTATGGAATATGTGTGCACATTATTCTTTAGAAGGAGCAAATGCTTTCTGACGAGGGCATAGAATCCCCTCTGGGATGCGTTTTTATACTAGCCAGCAACTGGTCAAATCAAGCGACCAAACACAAATTGATGTTTCTGCTACTGCTCTTTGACTATGTCTCTAATAACAAATTGATGTGTTCTGTCTTTAGAATGCCGTATTCAGTAGGACACCGGAATGCGAACCCCTTCGTAATAGGGCCAGATTTAGGGTTAGGACTGGCATTATTGTTATGACTAGAAATAAGTTTATGTTTAGGAGTAAGGTTTGGGCTAATGTTAGTGTTAGCTCCCAGACACTGCAATGGATATCTTGTCTGGAATTTAGTGCAAAAGCCTACGGAGGGAACGTGTCATAACCTATATGACATAAACAAAACTGACTGCTTCGAACTATCTTTTTGCCAACTTCACGTCTTTCACTCGAACTTCTTGGTTGAAAAGCAGTGTGGTTCTTGTTTTTATAGTCAGTCGTCATTTTACCTCGGTTGTTGTAAGTTTATATAACGTTTCCTAAGTTTTTTCCTGTTTCGTAACGCACTTAGAGGCATGGTAGGACATTGCACAATAAAGGTATAGGTGCTCACCGTTGTACTAACATGTTCAATAGTTATTTTGGGCCACCTTACACCAACATAAAAGTTCAACTAGTGCTTCTCATTTAGTCCTATATTTGTAACTTTACCCGTCATTTTTTCACCTTCACGTTTTTTGCGGTTGCCAAAAATCAAGGAACACTACAGGAGTCTAATGCATCTGTTTGCTGTTTTTTTAGATCACTGTGTCATCTGGTTCGTCCAGTGAGCGGTCGCCGCTCATCCAGTAAGTTGAAGTCAAACATTTTTTTCTTTTTAACTTCCGCCTGTTGGTTTTGAAAAAAAACAAGCCATCCGCAATGTAGAGAAGACCACTCTTACATTCACTCACTCATAATACAGTAGATTTACTATCTCATAAAATATGAACGGAAATTCTAAAATGCGTCTTTGATCCGAAAAACTTTGATTAATAGGCTTATAATACTGATTCTCGTGCAATCCAATCCCGAGATACTTCAGTCACGTCAGGATGCCGGCTTTTGGACGAGTTTCTCTCCGGCCGCTTGCAAAAACTACGTTTCACAAAAAGAACTACTTATATATTATGCATTTTTCCATCTATTTTCGCTCTCCTTATAATTTCAGACAAATTTTACAGGAGACATACACAAAAGTACTTTTTTATGTTCTCTATTTGGTATTAAACCAAGTCTTCTCCAAATTCTATACTGAAAAATATTGGATTTTTAGTTAAACAACTTTTGCAATTGCCGAATAATTCATAACCCGACCGGCTGTTTTATTCGCATTCGAAAGAGGTCATACGTTGCTTGTACAATTTTGCCATGATGTGAATCCTGTTACATACTCGACTAACAGTACTAATAAATAGACAGATACGATGCTCTATGAATGAACCTTTTACGATCTTAAAAAATCACACTCAGAAACTTAAAAAAAACGAAAGAAAGCCTTTTGTTAAGTATGGACTTCGAGGAAGTCGTACTTATCACCAAATGAGTAATACCATAAAATACATTTGAATTTATGGGATTGATGTGGTCTAAAAGGAGCTCGTTCAAAAGCCGGCATTTTGAGGTGACTGAAATATATTGAAATTAATTCGCATGCTACTCAACATTACAACCACACTTGATTAATATATTCGAACCGAAGGCGCATTTAAGAATTTCGGCCGACATTCCATGAGATAGACAATTTACGGTACTTTACTTACCTTTCCTTCCTGTACACCCTCTCCCCCTAGCCGCCCGTTTACTTACACCCCTCCCCCATTTCGATCAGACCATACTTTTTTAGAGTTAAGGTGTCACATCGGCGCGAATTATCACAGGGTTGCACTAAAAGAACGCTACCGTAGCCGCTCTTACGGGCAACGCGGAGGACGCTAGCGTTCGTACGAACCTCAGACCAAAAATATCAGGAGAAGATAAGATTCATACAGAAATTAATGATTAAATGTCAAACGATCTGCACAACCAGCGAATACTACTACAGGCGATCCTTTGAACAGGAGTAATTCAGTACAATTAAGGAACTGTGCACAGATAGTTAAAGTCAAGATTGTCAGACATCTAGACTCTCATTCCCGAGGATAGGTTGATTCGCCCGTCGGCAGCTGTTAGTTGCAATTTCGTCGTGAGCACGTTTGCCACCCTATAACCGGCCACACTGTAGATGCGCTGGACCAACGCGGGGACCATATCAGAGCACGACAGGTTTACTTGAAGATACGCACCTCCCCCCCATAACAAATACCACTTATGGAGGTTGAACGAGCACACCTAGGCTCGGGTTCACACCACGCCAGCCACCTGCGCCCGATCCCGTCTTTCTGCTTCCTTCCCTTGCAGACCAATGAGAAATTCGGGTCACTGTCAGCGTGATTGAAAAAAGGTGCAGGAGCCGAATGACACAAACACTCCGTCTCACCCCCGCCTGTTTGCCTCCGTTCAGTCCTTACACAACTGAACTACATATTTGGACGGGGTTTTCCTTATATACTTTAACCCAAAAATTGTTGGCTTCTTTGCGCCTTATTAAGTAAGAGTAATTTATTTTTCGGAAGTAGCTATGCGCTTATAAAAAAACTCATAGAAAGTGTATCTTTGGTTTGAGGACAATCTATAGATCCTGGCAGGTAGGAGCTCCCCACACTCTGTCTATCGAGGAGGCCAGATTCCTATGTTTTTCATCTGCGTCTTTGGTCTGATCTGACTGATGTGCTTCCTCCTAAACCGAAACTAAAATTAAAACCCCGACAGATAACACGTGGTTTTCCATGATTTTTTACAGTTCCATGTGGATTTGTATATATTTTTTTGACAGTTATTCATGTAGTGTGCGTCACAGTGCCTTCTTCCGTACGATTTAACGCATTGCTAATTTCCCATAAGCCGTGTTTGATTTGTAGGTACGTATTTTTTTTGAATGATGCTCACGCGTTGCAAAGTTATTAAGTTTACGAATGCCACATTACTAAGACAGCATTACTGTACTGACCGAAGTGACTTTTTGCATAAGGCCAATTTATTTTATGCCCTCTCTACTTGCTAACGTTTCCAGTTGCGTTCTCAGTTTTAATATTCACTCCGACGTTCAATTCTCTAGATCCTACCGTTGCTAATCGGCCCTCGGAGTCCGCCTTACGTGAAGATTTATCACAGGTATTATTGCATAGTGCTCAGGCTGTACTTTCGATTCCCTAGCTGTTTTATTTTAATTTCTCCCCATTCCCCTCCCTTTCTCCTCGTCCCTGATTTTTATTCTTTGCCCACCCTCTCCTCCCCCTCCTCTGCCTCAAAATGCCACTTCCTCTACTTTATCCACTTCTTTAACCTCACTTTTTCTCGGGTTTGTTCACGTTACAGTTACTGGAGGCCCGTGAGGCGAAAATACTTGAGCTGAGCCGTGAAAACATCTCTCTTCAGGAAGCCAACGCCTTCCTGCAATCGTAAGTTATACCCCTCTGTTCTTACTTATATTGTTACTTGCTTGTGCTTGACATTTGACTTATCTGTCGGTGCAGTAGAAGCAATGGTTTCGTTGTTTTTCAGTGGTCCGATTTTCATTCTAAGCCTCAATACTGTAATCTACTTAATATACGCATTGGTTACTGTACAGTTAGTTGGCCGCTTGTTTTCGTCGGAGTCTTTTTTAAGGACTAATCCTCTTTCAGCATAAATAGTTTGCCTTAACCGAGGAGCCTATCCCCTAAGGCTAAGCCTTACTCCCCAACGAATGGGTCAACCCCATCTTCGCCTGGGAGGGACGCTGCTAAAACCTATTTGAAGCAACCGTTTGCTCTTATGCGTGAATTTGTACTTGCGATTTGCATACAAGTGGCCGGAATTTTGTGCCAACCTTACACGTGATCGCTGCTTTCTACCTGATTCAGTCGTTGACGCCATATAATCTATAAAGCTGTTAGTGGCGCAGCATGCAGCCGGGATTCGCCATCGTTACATTTAATATTATTAGGTTCTCTTAGATGCTATAAACAACCACCCAAAACTGAGCTTAGGTCGGAAATCTGTGCCTTTCTATGCCTATTATTTAAAAGTCCGCGGGGAATCCTAGAAGGGGTACTCACTTTGACGAGTATGCGATCGCACAAAATGCCTGTTTGGACAGGATTCTTTCTAGCATACGATTCTATTTAACCTTCACTCCTCGCTTGTAGATCCATTTAAGCGTGTTAAACGTAGCAGATGCAGCCCCTTCCATCCACGAGTGAATGAAGATGAGGGTGACGGCGCGTCCCTCGGATGGGTCACACTTTGTAAGATAATATCGGACGAGGCGGATCATCCTTATTGCCATATACGTTCCTTTTTATCAGAATACACGTGGGCCACTCTATGGCGTTAAAGCAAATGGGAACCTTTGACATGTCCCGGGGTTTAACCCTAGATTATTACAACATAGGCATGTGACATCCGCTAGAAGGAGGTGTTAGACCACACTAACCACTGCACCCAATTTCGGAGCGGAGAGGAGAGCGAGATTATGAGTTAGCTTCTGCGAATGTCTGCTACATTGCCGATCAATTAGCGCGCAGGTCAAAAGTGCGTCCTCTGTCGGACGGTGATGGTCCTCAT